AAAATCGGGGTGCTGTTGAGCAACGTGATGTCGAACACTGCCGGGGTTGGTGTGGGCTTTGCTGCAGTGGCGTGTGGCTTCGTGCTTTCCTTGTTCGTCATGCAGCTATGCCCAATGCTGTTTTTGAAGGGCTCCAGTGACGTGCAGGGCCAGGCCCCCGCAACCGTGGACAACGCCCTTGTTTCGAGACAGTAAGGTCGATGGGAGAGATATGCCGGCGCCAAGGTCAACGAGTCCCCGCTTTGCTGCAGTGGTGTCGTGGTGCAGAGGAGGGCAGGCGGCAGAAGGCGAGCGAGAAGGTGCGATGCGGGGCGTTGTCCGCGGTTGTCGTACGTGAAGATCGGGATGTGTGCGGAGATGCGAGGCAGCAGGAGGGGCGGGAAGGGACGAGAGGAAGCAGGGAAGGTCGAAGTATACTTCCCGCAGAGAGCGAAGAAATACAGTAGGAGGAAACGTAGTAAGAGAGAGTGGATCCTCCGGGTGCATGCCCTCTTTCAACTGAGCGCCGGGAGACGGAAGAAAATACACGCAGAGACCACCCGGCAGCGGCACGGGCCTACCGCTAGCAGTTATATAATATATACGTCGGCGAAGCAGGCAGTTCAATTTCAGCCGCACGTAAAATACACACAATAATGAGGAACGGGAGAAAAAAGAAAAAAACAAAAAAAAACCACAAACAAACGGTGAAGGTGTGTCGATGGGGATCAAACCGTGAGGGCCCTCAGGACAAAAAAAAAAGAGACGATACACATGATAGGGGAGGCGAGGCGTGTGTGTGCACGGAAGTAACGGATGGCCTCCGACCATGTTTTTTATTTTATTTTATTTTTGTGGGTGATTCTCCCGACACCCCGGCAGGGTTCTTTTGCGCTTCATGCGCCAGGAAAGAGAAAGGGATCATGAAGGCATGCGGAGAGGGAGAAAAAAAAAGGCCTTTGTGACAAAGAAGAAGAAATGTTTTTGAGGGTTGAAGGGAAACACACAGCCCTGCGTAATTTTCTGCGAATTTATCTGTTTAGAGGAGGGGTGGCCACATATTTTTATTTCTATGGCTTGGACGCAA